TACGTTACCTGTAAGTCCCGGATGGTTGAATGGAGCTGGTGACCCGTTCATCTTTCCAGCGCTTTTCCGTGCTGACTGAAGTTCGTTCTCCAGAAAATGACATTTCTTTTTCAGAGATTCATTTTCGCTTGTAAACCGTGTAAACTCTAATCGCAGAAAAGACGCATTCTCCTCCAAAAGTTTGCTTATTTCCACAACAGCCGTTTTCGCTAACGTTTCCATTATGGCTGTCAAGTGTGTCTGAAATTCGGCGGTATTCATGATGTCCATCTTTTACGGGACACTTTAAAGATATAAATACTCGCCCTTTGGCCCGGCAACGCTATTAATGTCTTAATATAGATGTTTATTTCTACCTCAAACAATGGCGTTGCGGTGCCTTTGGTGTTTATGTAGATATAAACAAAGCATAGCGTTTGGCAGAAAAGAATCATGGGATAAATTACCGTAAACCACCGTGTAGATGTTTCTATCCGATAGTTCACCAGAATACCGTCGTCTCGGTTTACTAGAGCAATGTTTGACTGCTCCAAAACAAAACCCTTTTAAACCCGCATGAAATGGATGAGATTGTGACGCATTTCCGTGCAAAATGGCTTGTCAAATACAAAAGGTGGGATCAGTGTTGAAGTTGCTAAAGGAAGGTTGATTTGTTGCTAAAAGTTGCTAAATGATATCGCCATGTCATTGTGTCACTGCATCAAATTTGAGCAAAAAAATGCATTTTATGAATGAAGAGTTCAGATGCAAAAGCCTCTAAGTGCCATCTGAAAATTTCTTCTAAAATGTGCATTTTTATCAGGCTCCTATGTTTAGGTTCAGAAATGTCACTTTAATGGCAATGTATTGGTCCTTTTCTATGCCATCAAAGTGAAATAAATGAACATAAACATGCTCATTTTAGAAGACGTTTTCAGGCTTTTGCATCTGAACTCTTCATATGTTAATTTAGATGTGTTTATAAAATAAAATAAATGCATAATATAATATTAAAATACAAATAAGTAATTATAAATACAACATTGAATTTAACACGTGCACATTTCTGAACGATTACAATTTAAGTTTATTTGCTAGTGAACTAGTAAAACGACTCATTCTGAACAATTAAACAGTGTATTAGTAGTTCGTATGCTACACTCGAAGAAAAGTCTGTAAAAATAGGGCAAAATCTACTAATATGAAGGAATTTCCCGTAATTATTATTCACAGGTTTTTTTACCTACATTTTAAATTATGCATTGTAGTTTGTGTTTTCGGGTTACAGGGTGATAATGGATAATGTCCTGGAAAATTACTAGTACCTTTTTCATTTTTCGTATCGCGCACTAACTGATCAACAATCTCAAGTACAAGCTACTAACAAGGTGTATCATAAATGAACAATTATTCAATTATTGTTATTATTAAATTAAACAATTGCAAATAGAAGCTAACTTAATTCACGTGATGTGTGTACTGCTAGGCACCTTTGGTTTCCTCTTTTTGTGTAATTTAGATGGAAAATGTGTGCCTTTTTTATCGTTTGAGTCACTTATCAAAATTTGCCAAATACATTTTTTTAAATAGCTAAATTTGTTGCTAGGTGCTTTTGGAAGAAACAGTTGCTGGGGTAGTCTGAAAAGTTGCTAAATTTAGCAACAAAATTACTAAATTGGCAACACTGGGTGGGACTGGTTGTTCACTGGATTGAAAACTGGGCGTTTATCGGCCTTGCATACGTCAGGAGAGATTTTAATTTCATTTGAAAGATTACGATGTCAAAAGTGTTATTAATTATTTATGTCCACCTTACTGATGGGCCTCTATCACACAACCAATGATTGGAGCCATTGCTGTCTATTCTACTTTATGTTGACCAACTGCAAAGCTCATACTGTAAGCAGACTGTGATAAAGAATTGGGTAACATTTTATCTTACGGTGTCCTTGTTACACATATCATATGTACTTACTCTGATAATAACAATAAATTATGCATAATTACATGCAAGTAAACCAATCCCTAATCCTAACCATATATAAGTACATGTAGTTAATTAATATAAATGTATAATTACACTATAACAAGGACACATTTGTAACCAAGAATTGCAATAAATTGGACAAGAATTGAAGTGTGCTGTTTGGTTATCCTGTCTCAAACATGCTTGACAAGAGCACAGTTATAAAATCAGTTGAAAATCTAATATGTAAAGTTTAAACCACATGGTCCAACTGCATGAAAATATGGTGAGGTCTTTAAAATGAAAGAGAATAGAATAAAATTGAAAGTTTTCATGTGAATTTTATTGTGAAAGGCAATTGCTTCAAATGAAGGATATTTCTAGATAAATATGACGATTAATATAAATATGCTTAAACATTTGATGATCTGTTTGAGTCAAAAAGGTACTACGTATTTGTAAGAATTCACACATTGATACAAAAAAAAACTAATATTCAGAAAACTGTTAAGTAGATAAAAAACAATGGTGCAATGTAAAATATTTCAGGGAGGGCAAAGGGTAAAAGTAAAAATATCAAGTTACCAAGGTTAGGTAACAAAAAGTTACAGCATGAACAAATCCATAGTTCCTTTTCCTTTCCCAAAGTAATAATTATAATAATTTATGCATTTAGCAGACAAGCGACTTACAATGCATTAAGGCTATACAATTTTTACCAGTATGTGTGTTCCCAGGGAATCGAACCCACGACCTTTGGCGCTGCTAACGCAATGCTCTACCACTGAGCCACAGGAGCACAAGTCTCAGAAAACTACACACAAGAACACATTTCACAATGTTTACAGTGTTTAAACCATAACATATTGCCTGTAATCAATGGAAATTACTATAAGAGGGGACTGTTTAGTGTTAGTGCGCAGATTTATTTATAGTCATTATATTGCACATGTAAACAAACAACCAGCATTTTTGTCTACTCTGACTTTTTTTTCCCCTAATTTATTTTTTTTAACATTTATTTTATAACAACAGATAAGAAGGATATTCTAAAATGACCTAGACAAAAGTTTTATACTAAAACTAAGGAGACAATATGCAGTAGCAATTTATTTCTGGTTTAACATCGGTGTGTTCTAAGCGCAATTTTGAAGGCGTAGCTTTTACCACAGTGTGAGCAGCTATATGGCTTTTCTCCGGTGTGGCTTCGGAGGTGTACATTAAGAGAAGATTTTTGAGAAAAGCTCTTTCCACACTCCATGCACGCGTACGGCCTCTCACCAGAATGAGTGCGCTCGTGAGTTATGAGATATGTTTTCTGAGCAAACCGTTTACCACAAACTGTACAGACGTAAGGTTTTTCTCCAGAGTGTTTTCGCATGTGTCTTGTCATGTGGCTTAAATACTCAAAGGTTTTCCCACAGAACACACACTTGAATTTCTTCTTTGGAGTAACTGTCCCATTGAAATTCAGGTTATTAGGAATAAATCCCACATCAGGGCTCAGAACTGACCCTGCTGTGATGTGTCCATGTGTAGCTCCATCAAGAGCTTGTTCTTCAGCTGGTGTCTGGTGCACGTTCAATTGGACTTGGTCATCTGAAGGTACTGTGTATGTGATAAAATCTTCAGAGCTTTGGGCAACACATCTCTCATCACTGGTCACTGCAGATCCTGTAATTTAATAAATGAAACATGAACATCTGAATATAATAAAAAAAAGTTAAAGGGATAGTACACCCAAAAATGAAAATGTGCTATTAATTTACTCACCCTCTGGCCATCCAAGAAGTAGGGGCCATTTTTTCTTCAGTAGAACAGTAAAAAAGTTTTTTAAGCTGAAACAATGGTGATTCATAAAATGCACATCAATGGCTACCGCCACTTTGAGAGTCAAAAAAGGCATATGTGGAAATGCAAAATGAATACCTGTGACTCCTGGCAATATATTAAGGTCTTATATGAAGCAAAACGATTAATCTGTGTAAGAAAATGTACATTATTTGCAACATTATAGCCTCAGGTTATACAGGGAAGTCTGATTCTTTTCCACAAACTGGTTGTTTTGGACAGTTTGTTTTAATGAGCTGGTTCAAATAATTGATTCACCAGCTCGTTTATGTATGTTATTAAAGCGACCAATAATGATGTAAAACATGGATGAAAAAAAAAAAAGCATATAAAGTCAATGACCTAGTCTTAACTCACCTTTTTATATAAACAATAAGAACCCATTAAAAAGTACATCTTAACCCCTTCATTCAAGTGCTCGGTTCATGTTTGCGCTTACCACTGGCTCACTGGTCTTCAGTTTGAGACCGGTAGTAATTAATTTGCCCTTTATGAATCACCAAGGACCACGGTTTCAGCTAAAAATATTTACTGTTCTACTGAAGAAAAAGCTCATCTACATCTTGGATGGCCTGAGGGTAGAGTAAATTAACAGCAAATTTTTATTTTTGGGTGAACTATCCCTTTAATACTAGCTGTTAAAGGTTCTGTATGTAAGTTTTTGAAAGCATAAAAGCATAAAAATACCATAATATGTTTGCAGATGTTAAGAAACATGCTAAGTTAACATACTTGTTTATGCTACTACAGTCAGTTGAAAATGTGCGTTCCGGGTAGGGATGGGCGGATCGATCCTCAAGTATCGATACTTTCGATACTGATGTTGTATCGAAAGGATTGATCCTCACATAAAAATATTGATTCTAAAGTGCATTTTTATAAACATTAATTTGATTTACTTATCAAGAAATTCGGGGCATAAAATAAGCTTCTAAGTGGAAAAATAGACTATATTAGCGAATAATTGTGTAGGATAGAACCATTTCTCCTGCTCATCGGGACACACGCAAATGCTGAAAGACAGAACCAATCAATCACAGACAGCGTTCTCTGCTGACGTATGGCTCACAGTGCTTGTTCAAATAGGGCTGCATTTCCCAAAAGCATCAGAAGCGTAAGTAGATCTTAAGAAACCATTGCCACATTATTACATTACATTACATTACTATATATAAAATAAATTTTGAAAAATGCATCACAGTTTCCACACAAATATGAAGCAGCAATAATAATAATAAATGTTTCTTGAGCAGCAAATATTAGAATGATTTCTGAAGATTATGTGACACTGAAGACTGGAGTAATGATGCTGAACATTCAGATTTGATCAAAAAATATGAATATAAAAAAGTTATTTTTAATTATGTTTCTCAATATTGCTGCTTTTACCGTTTTTTGTTTGTTTGTTTTTTTCAAATAAGTGCAGCCTTGGTGAGCATGAGACTTAAAAAAAATATTACAATTATAGTATATTTTATTTCTAAAAGTGTAAACAAAAAAGGCCTTTGAAATGTTAAAAAACATGGCTTTAAAATCTAATATTAAGTGAGTATAATTACTGATTATATATTCTTTTAATAATTTAAAAGATCAGTTTAGTTTAGAAGTATCGGTACTGACGATACTGGGCTTGAAAATATCGGTATCGGATCGAAAATAAAATAAGAGGCATCGCCCATCCCTAGTTCCGGGCCGGAATGTCGGTCT